CCACACCCCACCTCCTAGGAACAAGTGACCCATAACTCCATAATCGAATCCCCCTCCAAAGTCCCATATATAAGTGCACAAAGCTCTTGGATGACATCTAGATATGAACTCTATCAACTTGACTTTCATTTTTCCACAAAAGCTATGAAGCAGGATTCAGAGTGAAAGAATTTGTGTGTTAGAATTAAACTAGATGTATTATTCAGTTAAACATGTTGTTTTGGATTAAGTACAACATATAAACACTCAGATAAAAATGAGACACATAATTTCATGGTTTACATATGACAACTAAAGTCATTTAAAATTTTGGGACTACATGTGCACAGCCACATTTTCCTATGAAAAGGAAGCAGTATACACCCAATTTTTGCTGTTATACTTTTTTCACTCTACATCATAGGTAATGGCAAATCAGGCACCCAATTGAGGGGGTGATTTTAAATGATGTTCTCATTTCTTTATACACATTGAAAGACTGATCACTTTTTACTTTTGTTTCTCATTATTGTAGACAACTTTTTAAAAACAGGGCATCACTGTGTAGTCTAGGTCACACTTGAATTCACTATGTACACTCACCTGATCTTGAAGATGCTATGATCCTCCTGCCTCAGCCTCTCTTGTGTTGGTATTATAGAATTGTACCACCGTGTTGGTTACTTTTTTCTAGTGGCTGAGACAAAATACCTGACACTCAGAATTAAGGAAGGAAAGGTTTATTTAGTTCACAGTTTGTGGAGGTTTCAGTGCATGCTTGGCTGGCTTCAAGGCAGGGTGACACATGGCACATGGCAACAGTTCATAGTGGTGGAAAACAGCAAAAGCAAAAAGGGGGGAGTAGCAGAGAGCAAGTCTTTTTCCCTCCCTTATGTTACATGCAAGCTACAGGCCCCAGAGTGAATGTAGTAGTCACACAGATAATCCCAGCAATGGACCATGAATTAAGCAAAAACTCTAGAAGCCCACCCCATGACTGCATGAGGCTTTGGAGGACATCTAGACACAAACTATAACAACCACCATGTCTGGTAGACAACATTTTGAAAGAATACCTTTAAATTACAGTTTTACTGGAAAGACAGTTTTCTAAATAAGACCAGACGTATGACACTGAAAGCCTATCTCCATCAAGATAGTTTTCACTAAAATGTGATGCCAACAAGGCACATTGATGTTGCTGAGTTATCATTAACTCATCAATTATGGACATTATTATTTTAAAGTACTCTCTTTTTAGGTGAAGCTTTCACAACATTTACAGTTTTTATCTTAACATTCACAAAATGAAACAGGAAGAGGAAACGTGGGTCCATCCCACAGAAGCAGTATCTTCCTTACACTAAGATGATTTTAACATTTTAAAATGTGTGTTGTGGTCCAACTTAACTTCTCACTGACTCCTCTTGCCTCAAGGGATGTGCTGCCTGCATTCTCACTGGTCAGAGTGAGGAGCAGCAGTCTCTTGAGCGTGTGCAAAACTCCGACTCCAAAGGTCTGTTCAAGTCAAGTCTGTGTTTGAAGGTTTCCAGAAGAGGCTGTTACTGAATAGTGGGAGAATTACCAAGCTGATGTGCTTCCTGGGTACTTTCTTAGAGGTTTAGTCAAATTTACAATAGTTTGAAAGGCTTCAGTAGTTTCTCATTGTAGAATAAAATGCGAACTCAGGACTGTGTCATTGGAACATGGCCTGAGGTATCAGTTTCTGCTCTTACTTATCTTCCTGATTCTGCACAGCAACAAGAATAGTCCTCAGTCTTCTGAACGATCCCCTCCCTTTCCCACACCAAGTCTCACTCTTTCATCCATCTGAAACCCTCTTCACCCGGATCTTGGCCAGCCTGGCTCATTCTCACCCTGCCAGTCTCAGCTCAAATGTCAGTGTTTCTGGTCTTCCTGCCTAAAGTAGCCATCCACAGCCCTCCCCTAACTCTGCCACAGCATGCTGGTTATTTCCCTTGTGGTGAGACTCATAACATGCAGCTATGGTGTTGATTTATGTGTCAGTGTGTTGAGTGATTCTGTTAGGGCAGAGTTCAAGTTGCATTCCACAAGAGACTGACTCTATTAAGATCAAGACAGAGTTTGTTAATTTGAGGCTAGCCACCCTCTTCCATTTGCCAATCTGGGAAGTGGACGTGGGCCTGCCTTTGTTCCCAGCTTATGTACATTTTTGGTTTCCATAGTAACAGATTGGAATGTTGTAGCCCTGGCCACATGTTGTTTTCCTTGTGCCACATAACCGGGTCAGGCTCTGGTCATGAGCCCAGTCACAATGATATATACGTTCTGTACTCTGTTTTATATGTCTCCCTTTAGATAACCATACATTTCCTTTATGGTTACAATGTTTGTCTAGGGCCGGGGAAAGGATGATACAACCCAGGCAAGGTCATAGGAAGTTATCTAGGCCCTAGTGTTCTTTGTCTTTGGAGAAGCATTCCAGGGCTAAGTCAGGACTGCAAAGTTATCTCTTTACCACCCCTCTGGGATGTTTCTCGAAACACATTTTGAGGCTTGCATTAAGACTAGAATTATTCTATCTTAAAATGATATGCTAAGAGTCACTGTCCCCTACAATTCCTCTAGTTACATTAGAAGGTTTATGAGGCCAAGAATTTTGTTTGTTGAACTCGGATATTTATTCTTAGTGTTTTTAGACTAGTGAGTGCACACTTTAGTTCAGAAATATCTACTGCAGGAACAAATGTATGTTGGTTGGTTCCTCTCTCCTTCTCCCTGATCCTTCCTCTCATTCTCATCTCAGCAACTATGGCCATGTGTGTGATGTTTGCTTTATTGAGGAATTGAGCTTGGTTCTCAGTGTTTTACCCCAGACTCAGACTGCAGTATTCCTATGCTCAGAGGCCTCTGTCAAACAGATGTAAACTCTCAGGGTCTCAACCTTCTCTCTCTGAAATGAACTCACCTCATCAGAAGGACTGAGTCAGCTCTCAGAGAGTATCAGAGAGGAGAAAAAAGACATAATGAAAAGATGGGGAAGAATAGAAAACTTCTCTAGTCACATAATTATGAAAACCTGCCCAAATTTTATTGCAAAATACAGCAATCAAATATTTCCTAGGAAACAATTATAAATAATTATTTTTTGGTACATGTTTTTTTGGAGATTAGATCTTTAAAACAGGGTTTAAATCCAAATCGTGGCTATATGTAAATACCCTCAGTAAACACAAGTCTCTGAGCCAGAGGGAAAAGACTCTATTGCTAAGGCTACAGCAAGCGGCATAAACACTGGTGTCCTTCTAACTAGTGTGTCAGGTCCCAAGAACGAGGTGCCCACAGATGAAAAGAAAAAGTAAGACAGACAAGAAAAATAAGACAGGCAAAAATCTGAGATCAGAGGCTTTACAGCCTCTCGGACTGCAACCCTGATTACCAATCTCTGTCAGCTTTTATTGAGGGAGAACCAAGGGTGTAGCCAGTACAAATGGGTGGATACCAAACATTTTAGCAAGGATCATTAAAGGATTATACTTTTCCACATGTCATCCAACACATGCCTGTAATCCCAGCACCCAAAAGGCTGAGACAAGAGGATCCTAAACTCAAGTCTAATCCAGGCTGCATAATGAAGACTTATCTTAAGAAATTCTAACAAATAAACAAATCATTGTGTCCTCAATACATTTTAATCAAAGAATGTCCTTCTTCACACACTGGTGTCTTTGCCTCAGTGTCTCCTTTCCTGATGTACCTGAAGGAGATACATTGTGTGTAGGTGGATCCTCTGTCTGTAATGATGTGTGTCCCATGGAGGACTGTGAGCTGGAGGAATTCTCTACTTTAGTACCTAGCAGTGAGCATGCTGCTCCTTGTCTCTTTGTACCTTGTGTACAAAGGTTGCTTACTGCAAGCATAGCTCTGGGAAATGATGCAATTGGTGCATCACAGCCTTACACTACTGGCACACTCCATTAGACATGTAGGAGTAAGAGAGACTCATGGTGGTCTATCTCTCAGCAATATGCACTGGAGTCTCATGTTGTGTTAGTTTCTTGAAAATTTTCAGGTAGTCTTCAGCAACCATTCTTATTTATCTAACAAAGACTGAGACAAAAGTACATTCAATTTATCTCATACATAATTAAATTAAGCTACTTCAGCAGAATTCTAAGCAGAACCATAAAACCTATGCGGAATATTAACCACAATCCCGTTTCCTATAACACCAAGTCAGATGACTGTGAGAAATCTCAGAGTGAAGACAACACTATATATGGTGTTATGCAATATAACTCACATGAGGGAGTTAGGGCTTACGTGCTACTCTTTGGTTTATCAAAGAGAACCCAAAGTTCCACTATCATTCCCAAATAGAGACATTCTATGTCCTCTTTCTGCAGACATGAATATATAACCTGAAGTGGAATTTAAAACTGTTTAGAATTAGTGTAGAACTATTTTACTGTGGAATTACAATACTTGTTAAACTACAATGGCAGTTTAACTGAGTATTTTCAAACTTTTTTTGGGGGGGAGGGGGAGGAAACCTTCTATATAAGAGAGACAGAAGGGATCCTGAGTAGGTGACTGTATTTGCAACATTTTCATGCATTCATGGAATTACCGAGCACTGCTGAGACATCATGGGCAATGTATTTCTATCAGTCAGGTAGAGACAATATTGTGATTTGTTTCTGGTTGTTTCATGTAAAATACACGCACATATACGCATCCCCCTGACACATGGAGATTGTCTTGGAGCAAATGTTTCTCAAACTGCTGTTAACTGGTTTTTGAGTTTTGCTTTTTAAAGGTTCCCATTAAGTATGAGCATTTTCCAAATTTAATTTATTACTGTTGAGAGTCCACAAGATGGCAGCATTTTCTCAGGCACCCTCAGGATGGTTTTTACTTCTCCTTTGACGCTGTGTGTGTGTGTGTGTGTGTGTGTGTGTGTGTGCGCGCGCGCGCGCGCGCGCGCGCGCATGCGCATGCGCATGCGCAAGAGTGTATATGAGAGAGAGGCAGAGAGAGAGACTCAGAGAGAAAGAAGGGAAAGAGATCAGTGGAGGGGTTTGTCTTAGCTTGATGGCTAAAAATTTCTAATTTTGAGAACAGATACTGTTATTCTTGTTTCCTACAGCAAAAGACTCGAAGTATTTGAAGAAGCTTTGTAGAGTTTAACATCTGAATTTTCAATGAACAAGAGCAGAAAGATGAAGTCCTTCAGTGTCTTACTAGTGATCCTTTGGCTTCAGTTCACCTGTGAGTATGGGCATTTCTTTGAGAATTTAAAATACAATACACAAAATTGCTGTCTGGGCCAGCACTGTGGGATGAATATGAGTGGTTTTGTCCTCTCAATACAGGAGGTTGGGAAAGCACTGAAGAGATCATTTTTATTCTGGAGAATAAGTGCCCACTTCCTGACCAATCTTCTCTGACTTTTGCTTTGTGCATAGGGGTGAGCGGCCAACAGAAGGATGTGGAGCAGAGTCCTGAGTCCCTCAGTGTCCCAGAGGGAGCCATCGCCTCACTCAACTGCACTTACAGGGACAGTGGTTCTCAGTACATCTCGTGGTACCAACAGTACCCTGGAAAAGGCCCTAAGATGCTGATTGCTGTATACTCCAATGGTGACCAAGAAGAAGGAAGATTCAGAGCACATTTCAACAGAGCCAACCGCTATGTTTCCCTGCACATTAGAGACTCCTGTTCCCTTGACTCAGCCACCTACTTCTGTGCCGTGAGTGCACAGTGGTCCCCAGGCACCTGCAGCCTGTACCCAAACCACAGACCTGAGGCAGAGTGGAGATCACAGGGCAGAGAAGCTCTGTTCCTGCTCCAGATGCAGTGGGAATTAAGAACAATAGTGGGAAGGGTTTCATAGAGTAGGGAAGTATTTTAACAATTATAGAAGTAACTGACATGAAAGGAAAGTTTATACCCATGAAACTGTCACGATAAATCATCTCACAAACATGACACTTGCCTATAGCTGTTTTCAATCACAAATTATTTTAGTGGTAGAAAATTAACAATCTTTATTATATGGCAGATTATTATCTTCAAAGTAGTTGCTCTGATTACAAGATATAGCCATGTAAAATTGATCAAACAATATAAGTACTAACTGTTTCACTCTATGAACTAATAGAAATGAGTAGTACAAACATCTTAACTATCTTGTGTGTTCATCTGTATATTTTTTGCCTTCCTTCTTTTCTCCTTTCCCTTATCCCAGTTGTTCCTTTTTCATTTTAAAGGGGAAAGAACAGAAACAATATAACAAAAACAGGGACAAAAACAAAACATGACAAAA